AAGAACAAATAGAGTCTTAAAAAAGCTTCTCACATCATCTGAATAATATAAACCAAAAACTAGCAAAAGAAAAAAATATCAGCACTGTATGAAGGTGGCAGAAAATTTTTACACCCAAGTTGTCAGATTCTCAATTGTTTGTGTGAATAATCTGCACTACAACATCTTTTCTTTCTATGTGGGTCTAAGCATACAGGAAAGAGGACCTTTTGAAATCAGATAAAAATCAAAACAAAACCCCCCAACCTGTTAGGATGAAAATATGAAAATAAATCATCAGAACGATGACAGCACAGACGTCTGAAGCAAGGCAGAGGAAGCGTACACATGCGAGGGGACCATCCTCTGCCACGCAACGCGAGCTTTCAGAGATGTGCAAACACGTTGGTTCCTTATTGTGATTTCATTGTAGACGCCCTCTGATCTGACTTGATCAGAGGACAGCCAGTTAATCAAAATGTCAGTGAGAGTGGGGAATCACCAAGTACTCCTTAGGCCCATCCATGCTCCCTGCTGAGCTTATGTAACAAGAGGAGGGGAGGGAGACAGCCCTCCGCTCAGGGCTCACCTCTGTCAACTACCAGCTGGTGACCTGTTCATGCTCAAGGGGTCCCACTTGTAAAACGGGTGCAATGATAGCTCCTGCCTCTAAGGATTGCAATGGAGATTAATTTTATGAATGCTGTAAAGGCTGTAGACTGCTATCCTAAAGGGGAAGCAGCATGTATGTATATTAGTTAAATAAGAATGGTTGTAAAAGGTCAAGGTTGATGCTTTGCTTGTAGATCCTATTATCAGTGCCCTGTTGGCTCTTATTTATATTTCCATGAAACACGCATTGTGTATTGTCTACATTGGTTCTTTTTTTTAAACTAGACCAAGAACCTAAAAACCTTTTGAGAAGTCATTTACATGCCAAATGCCTCCATATCTAGTCCTTCACTTTCTGTTCATTCTTTAGTTAAAAACCTTCACCTAATTTGATGGCAAACATTTTTCTGGTGCTCTGACTCTACAGAAGTTTTGAAGCACTCAACTTTGCCCTACAGAAACAGTTTTATATTTGCATCATAGTTCATTTATATAATAGCTAAAAATTCCATAACACCCAGGACAAGAATCACTTGCATAAACACATCGAGTTGCATATATACTTCAGTCTTGCTCAGAGTTCAGCTCAACTGTTAGTAGAAATGTGTGAGCTTAGCAAGAACCTCCACCAGAAGCATGCCTTCAGTGTCTGGGGTTCTTCAGTAAAATATAAAGGGAAGTGGGAAAGATCAGTTAATTTGGCTCTCTCAAAACAGTTGAGTCTGAACCAGCTCATAGCTGACCATCCAGCAGGGTTTCAGAAGCTGTAAATCTCTGAGGAGACTGCCCATCTTTTTCCTTTGCAGCCGCTAATGAATTTGAACTGCTGCCTTTGGCTTGGTGGCACAATACCTTGTCTATCAGGACACCAGAGCCCTCTTTACCTGGCAGTGGTTGTGTACTGTCAAGTCACAACCAGCGCCATAGCTGACCATCCAGCAGGTTTTCAGAGGAAATCTCATAGGAGGAGATTGCCCTTCTTCTGCAGAACAGCTGGTGGATTTGAACTACATGCCTTCAGGATTGCAGTGCAGCTTCTTACCACTAGGCTATTAGAGCTACCTTGTAGGTTCAAAAAAGGTTAGTTAGAGATGCTAGTCCCATTAAGAGCATTATTCTTAGATATTATGTATTATGTTGGCTCCTTAATTCATTGGAATTTAGCTTAAATTGTTGGTTGTTATACAGCTGTATGCCATCACTCTGACTGTTGTTAGATGTGGTTGGGTTGGCACTACTAACTCAGAAATATCATTCTGGAAGTGAGAATCCATAGCAAGTTTTATATTATTTCAATCTTAAGATTTTAACTTTCAAGTGGATCTTTTTGTCTTTTTAAAACCTGTCATGGGCCAGACACCCTCTTTACGTATTCTAGAATCTGCCAAACAATCTTTGAAAGTCTACACTTGTGTTGCCTCATCCAAGGAAGTGCTGAATGATATGCTGTTATGTAACCTATTTTTCTGTAAGAGGTTCAAGGATCTTCTTTCCCCATTTCTATAGGGTGCATGTTTCAGATGCTGGAAATAATTTTTCTGTATACTGCATTATGTCTAGCAAATGACAGCTAAGATCAAGTTCTAAGACTTACAGGGAACTATGAGAACTCTGTTTACCGACTCTGCCACCCATGGGTAATGGCCCATGTTTCTATACTGTTTGGTACCCAGAGTCCTGATGAATTTGCAGCCCCACCGCCATCCATGACCACATAGCACCTCAACATCCACTTATGAGAGGAAAACTTTAGAGGAAAAAGTGGAGGCATAAAGCTCCCTCAGTTTTCTATAAAGTATCTCCCCACTTGCTGAGTGACTCTGCCATTTACCTGTTCTTTTAACACACTCGACTGTTAACTAAAAGGCAGGAGGTTTGAATCCACTAAGAGGTGCCTGAGAAGAAAAGCCTGGCAAGCTATTTGTGAAACACCAGCCATTGGAACACTCACAGTGCACGATTTCATGATTTTACTCTAGCACAGGAAGTCACCACGTGTTAAAATGCATTACAGTTGAACTTGAACTTAGAAGACTCTCCTTAGATAAGGATTTTTCCCATGTGAGCTCAAATGTTGTGAGTCATCTCTAAGGAGTACTTCATATCTTCTAGGACAGACACATATGTGGAAATAACGTGGTCAATCACAGCATCTAAAGCAAATATCACGGCTCTGGAGTCCTCACAGTTCAAAGCCAAGTTGTTTGAGGGTCAACTGAATTATCAAGATTTGCTAGATGCTAAACAAGTGTGGAACTGTTTTTAACTTACTTGATGCTCTATAATAGACATTTACATCTCAATAAACCCAAAAGATAGTTTCAGAAAATTAAAATTCTTTTTTAAAAAAAAATTTTAAAAATTTTATTATTTTGTGCGTGTACCATCAAATTGGATCTGACTGGTACAAGGGATTGCCCCTCCTTCTCCAGCAGAGCATCTGTTGGATTTGAACCGCAGCCTCTGGAATTGTAGTGCAGCTTCTTGCCACTAGGCCACCAGAGCTCTCTTGAAAATTAAAATTCTTGAGTAAAATAATTAACAGACAACATGAGAAGTTAGGTCTGCACTTGTGAGCTGGAGGACATCAGACATTCAAGTTTCCAGCATTCTTCTCAGAACCATGAACAGTATAACATTCATGAATATTATTTAAATCAGAATGTCTCCAGGAAATGAGGACTTTTTGGGGATGAGAATGGATTTGTTCACTGAAAACACCCAGTAAGTAACACTGACTTCCTACTCTCTGTATACACGTTATTCTGTACCATTTGCATGTGGACTTTAGAAGATTTTGCTGCCCCCTGAAAAGGCTTAAACATTTACAACACGTATGCTTATTGTGGAAATACATCATCAAGATCCATTAACAGGGACGGCAGCTCTTTAGCAGTGTCCGAAAAGCCTCAAGTGAAAGCAGGCAAACCAGAAGATATCCATGTATGTGTAGGAGCTGTGTAAAAGATTAGATCTTGATTATGATAGTATCAAGGAGAATGTTTTACAGATGCAGGATCCCCTCTGACAAACATTTATTGTGGACGAAACAGAAACAGATTAGAGAGAGACTTCCTTTTCCCCACATACTTCTTGAATCATAAATTATTAATTCCCTTCCAACATATAAAGCAGAGAGGAAATTAATTTAAGATATGAGATCTATTTTGTAAAAAAAGAGAGCTGTTTTAATTTGGGGCAGAGAAATTATGTTTTGATGTTTGTTTTTATCAAACATTGTTCTCTGATATGAACTATGGTGTTCCATTATCTCCCTGAGGAGACCTGAGACGTTTACATTAAAGTCCAGAGAGTAAATTATCAACATTGTCTTGTCTAAACAGAAGAGTGTTGTCCAACCAAATGTTCTAGGATGATGAGTGTATTCTGCCTAGACACTGTCAACAGGATAGTCTCATAGGCTTTCAAACATCTGAAGTACAGTTAGTGTCACAGAGGAAGAGAAATTTAATTTGCTAGAATTTTAATTACATCAAATAAATAGCCTCCTGTAGCTGGTGGCTACAACAGTGTGCTCTGTAGTGTGGACAATCACAGGTTGGAGAACCCTGATCTACCACCTATCCACGGGGCAGCTGTGCTTTCACACTGGAATGTGCCCTCTGAAACCTCACTGCATCCCTTTTCAATTCAGCCTCCGAAGGGACCTGAGCAAAGCTCATGGGAACTTGTTTGTGCAACTGTGCCCACTAATAAAACAAAACCCAAAACTGCGAGGGTCAGCTCTCCAGCCATCTCTGCCAATGTGTGTGCATTTCCCTGCAATAGGGCAGACCCTGTAGTGCGTCCAAATGATTCAAATGGCTTGACTTTGCAGGGCTTTTATTTCCACGCTCTGATGAGAAAGTAAATAAAATCAAGCCATTCAGTCAGAGCATTTAGACAAAGAGAACCTCTAATAAACTGAGACAGAAGACAACAAGTGTTGTGTTTGAGAAGGAAATCGGCCTGGGGAGAGACATGAGAGAACAAGAAACCCCAACTGCATCTCTGATCAGAAAGAGCCTGAAATAAAGAGACATGCTTTGGCATTACATAAATCTCTTCTTTTCTTATCACAGGATACAAGATTATTAATACTGGTTCCCAAAGCAATTATTCTCTAACTCCATTTTCTGGATCCTACCTCCTGCTTACCAGAAAACACCTCTTGGCCCCTTTCACTCATTTACCCTTTGCTTATATGATTCCCTACCGTAGGCAGCTGGGACACAGACTCGACAATTTAAGAGGCATTCAATTTTAATAACATCCCTTGAGAGAGGCGAGAATCTGGTCCCATTGCAGTATGCCTGCCCATGGAGATGTAGATAACTTTTGAACTTGGATAATTCACTGTTGTCAAGAGGATTTCAGGAACAGGGTTTGCTTTGCACATGAACACGTACCTGGAAGAGCAGATCAGGAGCTGGTCTGACTCGCTGCTGGAAGAGGATGCTTAACGTTCGGTTCTGTTGCTCCAAATCAAATACTCTCGTTTTCAATTTCACACATTCCTCCCTCAGATCCTACAATAAACCCATTGGACAAGGAGAGAAAAAAAACCAACAATCACCAATTGACTCATTTGCATATTATAACCACATGATAGCTGAGGCATGATGATATTGTTGTCATTAAGAGCCGTCGAGTTGCAGACAACTCATAGAGACCCTGTGAACGAAAGACATGAACACTTGTATAACTTCATTTCTACAAGTTCATAGAGTTCCTGGAGGCAAGCTATTTCGGAGGTAAGCTATTTTGGAAGTGGATGCCACTCCTGCTTCCAAGCTTATTTTAATTGGGGAGCTCCACCGAACACTGTCCACCATGGGATACTTGATAGTTCACTATTGTTTACTCCTCAGTAGAGATAGATTGACACAGTAACTGGGGTAAAGAAGGTAGGTGTGTGGGAGTCAATGAGACTGGCTCAGGATAGGGCAGGTTTCAGAGCTATTGTACATACAGTCACTATGAGTCACAGGTGACTTGATGGCACATAACAACAACAATAATGAGAGTATTTTTATTGTTCAAAGCTCCTAGAAAAATCGCACGTGACACTGTCTTCCACAATCCATGATCTGGAAAAATTACTATGTCCAAGAAACCAACTTAAAAACACACTCAACCCAACAAAACAAAACCTTGAAATCAGAAATGCATTAATCTAGCATGCTATTTTGGAAGTCAGTAAATCTTAGCGATATAAAGTCAATGTAAGTCTCCATCTATGTATTTTGCCTCTTCACTGTCTTTATAAAAGCAATCATACAGCACAAACCACAAGGACAATAATGTTTTTCCAGTGAATAGAGATTTGATGAACTAAAGAAACGATTGCTTTTGATGGAGCCTTACACTGTTACTTGTGGAAACAGGCTGAAATTCTCAGCACTATGGCTAATAGAGTCAGCGATGCATTTAGTGGGAGAGCAGTGGAGTGCTTCCACTCAGAAGTGATAGCTTTTCAAAGACCACTGGCAACTTGCTCCTGCTCAAAACTAGTCTATTCCCTTGCCTTTTGGTGAGTGTTTGTCTCAGGGCTATGGGAGAAGTAATATATCATACCTTGGCAACTTTTTAGGCTTTTGTGAACCATTCAAACACAAGGGAGAACTTTTCCAGCTTTCTAGTGAGGGGAACTGAAGCTGAAGGGTAGGATTCCCAACAAAAAATGAGTCCCACATGGACTTGTAATAAAGATATTTGTTGTTGGTGTTATAGTATACCAACAGGTCAGAACTGACTCACAGGTGACACTCTGGAGGGGGGTTTTCAGAGACAGTACATCTCAGGGGAGAAGACTGACTATCCTCCTCCTATGGAACAACAGATGGATTCAAACTGCTTGCCTTTGGGTTGGCAGTGCGACTCATAAACCAATAGGCCCCCAGAGCTCCCTTGATAAAGGTATGTCTGTATTTAAATATTTATATAGATGAGATGGATTGATACAGCAATTGGGGCAACAGGGGTTGGTGCGTTGGAGAAATGAGACTGGCTCAGGACAGGGAAGGGGTCAGAGCTGCTGTACATAGGATTGCTATACATCGAACAATAACATACTATGACAAGTTTGGAAGCAGGAGTGGCATCCACTTCTGAAATAACATGCCTCTGGAAACACTATAAACTTTGATAAATGTCAATAGTTGTAGAGGGGTTTCAGGCCTTTTGTTCATAGGGTCACTATGAGTTGTGCTAGAATTGAAGGCAATAAACAACAACATGTATCTGTAGATAGATAAATTCAAGGCAGATGACATAAAATAAACTGCAAATTCAAGGTTCCTCCAATATTACATTTCTCTATTTTCTTTTTCTTTCTTTAATTTTATTTTATTAATTTTAATGAACATTTACAGAGATTTTGGATTTCCATTCATTCACTGTTGCACTATTTTCTCTACCCCCCGCCAGTTCGTTCCTCTCTTTTTTCCCCTTGAAAGTCTGTTTTAATTGTCCCATTGCCACAGTGCTTGTCACAACTAGTTCTGATGAATTCTTTTTCTTTACTTAAAGTCCTCTACTTCATGTTAGTCACCATTGCAAGAACATGGAAACAGCCCAAATGTCCAACCACAATCAAATGGATTGAGAAATTATAGCACATTCACATGATGGAACACCATGCAGCACGCAGGAACAATGATTTTGAAAATCACTGCCTAACTTAGGAGGGACTGGAGAGCATTATGCTAAGTGTACTAACTTGGTCCCATAAGGACAAATACTATGTAAAACCATTATTATAGAAATAGAAAGATAATTAGTAAAATGTGTATGCAGATCCAAAGGGGGGAGGGTAGAAAGAGAGGGGGAGAGAGGGTATAATCATAGGGTCACACAAATTGATGGGTGGAGGGAGGGGTGGGTAAAGGAAATGGGGAAAATCCAGTGTGAAAAATAATATATTCAAACTTTATAAATGAACCAGGACAAAATAAAAATTTTATTTAAAAAAAAAGTCTTCTGCTTTAGCCAGATAGAGGACAAGGGTTTATTTATTGTTCTGAGCAAGTTCTACTTATTCCTGTTATACCCTCCACCATCAATTTTTCTTCCCAATTATCTCCCTAATTCCAATCCAACTTAAGACTCTCTGATGGAAATGCCATTCAGATGCTAATTTCTCCCTTTTGCTGGACATCCTCTAAGAATCCACATCTCCAATAAGCCCTGGGCACCTATCATATGGCATTTGACAGATTCCACTTCATGTAGATTTTATCCTTCTGGCCTCAGATTTACTCTGTCAGTTAGATGACAAGTTCCTCAAAAGCCAAGCCCAACAAGATAGTGAAATAAACAAAGAGCTCTGTTCTTTCTAGTCTATCACCTAGCAGTGAAAGAGGGGAAGACCTTCAACAAGATCGATCTACACAGTGGCTGTAACAATGGGATCAAGTATACCAGAGATGGTGGATGGCACAGAACAGGGCAAGGTTCAGATCTGGTGTTCACAGGGTCACTATGAATCGTATTCCATTCGACAGCACCCAACAACAAGAGCAACAAGCACAGCACCACCCGGAATAGAAGCTGTTGTATACTATGATGTTTTGTTAAAGAAATTGCATTCTTCAGGAGTTTTACTTCTAACCCAAAGGCCACACTTTTCTCGGTAGTTCAATTTATGAGCTGTTGTACAGGAGAAACAAGAACAGCCTTCCCCCCCACCCAATCCGCATGTGATTAACGGCTTCAAAACCTATGAGTCAGTGCTAATTGGATGGCAATGAGTACAAATTTTTGAGCTGGCATGATAAATAGAATTTGAGTCTGTCAGTCTTACTAGCTTTTAGATAGAATGTATGTTTGGGAAAACGATAAACTTTACTTATGGCTTTGTAAGCACAAGAGGTCTGTTTGTAAGGCCTCAGTAGTGCTCAGAGAGGTGGATAGGCCTGTTCTTGTTTCAACCTTGACTGTGAAGCTAAAGAGATCTAGCTCCCGAGGCATTACATAAACATCCACCATCATGTCCACTATTATTGTTAATAAGTGTCCCACTGTCAGTTCCAACTCACAGTGAATCTACGTGCAATAGAATGAAACATTGGTTGATTATGTGCCATCCTATCAAGTATTTCTATGTTTGAACTCATTATTGCAGCCAGTTTGAATCTGTCTCCTTGTCTTTCTCTTTTTTGCTAGCCAAGAACAATATTCTTCTCCTGGGACTGGTGCCATCGGATTACAATTGACACAAAATCTCATCATCTTTCCATTTAAAAAAGACTGTAGCATTCTTCTAGAGAGGTCTACTCATTCATCTGGCCGTTCAAGTACAGTCAACACTCTTCACGAACTTCATAATTCAAATAAATAAGTTCTTCAGTCTTCCTTATTCACTGACCACATGTTCCACATGCATATGAAACGATGGAAAACACCCTGGTTTAGGTTAGGCACACCTACATCTTCATGGTGACATCCCCTCCTCCCCCCCAACACTTTAAATGACCTTTTGTGGCAGGTTTCCCCAATGGAATATGCAATTTGATTTCTTGAGAACTGGTTCTCCAGGTGTTGACTGCAACCCAAGTAAAATTAAATCCTTGACAACTTTAAACTATCTGTTTACCATGATAATGCTCATAGATCTAGCTGGAAGGACTTTTAATTTATACTAATGTGAAATTCAAACTCAAGGCTGCAGTCTTTGACCTTCATCAGAAAGTGCTTCAAGCTTTCTCTTCTTACAATGCATCATCTACATATTGAAGGTTGTTCATGAATCTTCACCCATCTTGGATGCCCTGTTTTTAACTCAGTCTAGCTCTTCAGATAATTGTTCAGTTTACACAGACTGAGTAACAGTGGAAACACAGGCTCTGTTTGAGCACAATTAAGTGATCTAAAACTCTCATTCAATCTTAACTATGATTTGTAATGATACACACAGTTTAATGCTCTTTCCTGCTCAATAAAACACAAACAAGTATCTTTTTTTTAGGATTCTGTTTTCAGCCAAAAGCTATCTGCTATACATAGTAATATCCTCCTCATTCTACACCACTGAAGTATAGCTCAAACTTCTGTCAACTCCTCTGGCAGAGTGCTATAAGTGATTTTAATTATATTTGTTGTTATTGTTGTTGATTGCCTTCGAGTCAAGCGCGACTCATAGCGACCCTATGAACAAAAGGCCTGAAGCCCCTCTACAACTGTTGATATTTATCAAAGTCCATAGAGTTTCTGGAGACATGTTGTTTTGGAAGTGGATGACACTCCTGCTTCCAAATTATAATTCAATAATATCCATACTTTTCTTTGGAATGGGCCCAGATGTGAATCTCTCTCAAGAAGTTTGTCAGATGGCTACCTCCCCGTTTCTTAGCATAAATAAGTGAGCTGGTTCTATATGGAATCCTTTTGTTGAGAAATCGCAATGGAGAGCTTGTCAATTTCTTAAGTTTTTATTTCACCAATGGATTCAGTGTCTCTTGGACTTCTAAGTTTAGCATCATTGGTTGTCAGTCATCTACTGTCTCCTGAAATCTTGACCAATGAGTGC